GGCTCAAAAAATGAACTGCTAAAATAATTCTGTTAACATTAATTTTGTTTGATGTAATTGCCCTCACCAGGTGCTCACAGATTATTTGAGAATAGGCTGCAATTTCCCTCAAATGCTTGCTCTGTGGATTTCTTTGCTGGATTTGTTTGCAGAGTTTATTTTTAGTTTCACAAATGGTGACCATAAGCATTTGACACTTGACATTGCCTGTGTGCAATTAGTCCAAGAGTCTCTCTGATCCCTCAGAGGATGAGGAAGCACATCTGATGGGCACACAAGAGGAACAGAAACTGTGGCTCCTGCACTTGCCCTGCCATCCAGCTGATTTTCTGGGATGCTCACAGAGCTGTAGCTTTTCAGCCAGAAGGGAGTACGAGGCTCCAGTTATCCCTGGAACTTGTGCTGAGAAAAACGCTCTTTTCAGAGGGATCCAGTCTGCATGTGAGGACACAGACCAGCCATTGCTCCCTTTGCTGCAATATTTAATCAACCTCACGGTTCAAAATCTGTTCCATATCCTCAATTTGAGCTTAGTTGGTTGAAGATTCCACTCAGCCTTTCCATCAGCAAAATTTCCCATTTCTAGATGTTAAGAAAAGGGAGCTTGGAGGGGATGAGAGTACAGCTAAGGTCACTCTGAGGTCTGAGTGAATGTATTTGCTGAGCTCTAGTTCTGAGCAAAACATTGCTACAAAGATTTCTTACACTGTGAAGTCACTAAATGTGGCTGAATGTGGTGCTGGCACAGAAAATTAAGGGAAAATGAACCAGCAAGCGTAGCTGTTGACATTTTGTGGTGAAGGAAACATCTGTGCTGATTGAAGTGAATCTTCCCTACTTTCACTCTTCTGTAGTTCCTGAGCTGGAATATGTGATTTGCTCTGCAAGAGCAGGACAGGTTTGTAGTGGGAGGTGGAGTCAGAAGAGAATTCATGGAAGGGGATTTTGTTTGGTTTGTGTAAGGTGCTCATCCCTGTGCAGGGGCAGGTGGGAATGGGTGTTCATGGGAGGAACAGGGATGATCTTCTACAGCATTTGCAGGATTTTTGGTGGTGGTGGTGCTGTGAATAATATTGGGTAGGATTTGTTGCTTAAAACTCTGGTGGCATGGAAGTGAAACAGTAATGAAAATCAATCTGGGGCAGCATTCAGTTATAGCTGGGTTCAGGAATGGAGGAAGGGTAAAGCTGTGGGGAGAAGGAGGGAGAAGATCCTGCTTTAAAAATGACAGAATTCTCGTGGGAGCATCAGCTGTGCTGCTGTGCTGGGGTTCCAGGAGAACACAGAGGCACAGGAAGCTGTTCAGCACTTTTCCTCTGGCTTGTCTCCTCCAAGGGGCAATTAGAAATGTGCCTCTGAGGGCCAGACAAGGTGCAGGGAGGGCTTCTCCCATCACTCCTCCTTTGCATGGCCAGATGTCTTCTGCTCCTCACTGGCTTCTCTGGCTCAGAAGCTTCTGGCTGAGGGGACAGGCAGATGGTTGCCTTGAAGGCTCAGTGGCTCATCAAACATCAGGCACTGAAGATCCGTGGCCACTGGCCAGTAATCTCCCACCCACGAGCTAAACCCTTAATTCCCTGCCCAAAAGAAAGTCACTTCAAACCAACCTCATAAAAGAAAAACTCAAAGATATTAAGCTTTTATGACTGTTCCAGTGAATCCAGCACCCAGGGCTCCAGCTCCATGTGAAATACCCCTGAAGAAAATTCCTCTTATGCTGGAATCCAAGAAGTAATAATAATAATACAGATCAGAAGTCACAGTTTCCCATCCAGTGAGCTCACGGGGTTGCAGGAATTTGAGCTGCTCTGTCACACTGGAGCCAGTGATGTGCTTAGCAGATGCCTGCTTGGGTTCAGATGAAGTGCTGCAGAGGCATATGATGCCAGAAGAAGGATTAAAAAGTCACCAGGCTGTTAGAAAGAAGAAGTAATTACTTGTAAGCCTTCACTTTTGTTCTTGGCTAATACTGGCTGTGTTTGATGGTTGTTAACCTCTTCCGTGCAGGGCTTTGTCTCTGAGCTGTAACTCCTGCTGGATGATGGAAAGGGGTAAAGCACTTTAAAATGTGAAAATCTGCTCCAGAGCACCTGAAAGCACTGAGAGGCAGAGCTGCTTTATTAAAAGTTAGTTTTTCAGGTAGATAAAGTAAACACCTCTTAATGGTTATTTAAAATAATAACTTGTGATGTGAAACTCAGGAAAACCCATGGTATCTTGTTTAAATAGATACTCTGATAAATTAAAGAGCTTTGAAACTGAGCTGATCAAGCGTACAAAAATATTCTCTGGAAATGTTGGTAATTAATTATACCAGGATGTGAAAGTTATTGAGTAGAGATGAAGAGAATAGAACAAATCCCTTAAGTGATGGCCTGCAGTTGCTGATGCATGACGTTGGGATTCTAAAAATAAAATGGACAATTTTAACTACCAGCTTTATCAATAAAAGGCTTAAAGTGCTTAAATAAATTGTCTAAAGTACAGCTTTCAGTATAGAAATACAGGAACCCATTATGTATGGTATGAAGGTGGGTGGAACACTTTAGACAGCAATAAAAAAGTGAAGCCTTTTTTTCTTTTTGCTGTCAGTCTGGCCACGTGGGTTTTGCTGTTTGTGTTCAGCTTATTAAGGCAGAAGGTGAATGACTGTTATAATATTGGGCCAAGCCCTACATACCTCATGCATGTGATTAACCCAGGATAAATGAAGTGTCTGCAAAAATGAGCCCACTGTCTGTCTGAGGATAATGTGCTGCAGCAAAAGTCCTGGGAATTGCACAAAAACAGCTGCTAAGCTTCCAGCTTAGATCCTGACCAACAACCCTTTGAAATCACGGGACTTCACTTGTCTCTGCAGCCTGCTGAGTTTATTTCTGGTTTTTGTGGCTCTGTTGAAGGCAGAGATTCCCTCAGGAGCAGTGGGGCTGTGTCTGGAGTATCCCTGGTCATGAAACACTGCAGCAAATTGTATCTGTGTGCTTAAATCAGTCCCTGCTCTCCCTGTCTAAGTGTTTATTGCTTCCCTTAACCACAGCCCCTCTGGTACCGGGGGCTCCTGGCTGAGCAGCAGGACACCTAGGAGAGAAATTCTCATCAGTCACCAAGTCAAATTCAGTAGCCAAACTGGCCAGCAAGAAATGGACTTCCTGTCCAGCAAACCAGGTGTTTTCATTTCAAAGAACATTGACATCTGTCACTAGGATGTCAGTGATGGCTTTTTGCAGAGGGCTGCAGGGAGGTCAGCAGATCCCAGCAGCCTCATCCAGGGAGGCTGAGAGGGCTTAGAGAGGAAACTCCTGCCTTAGGAATCCAAACTCTTGTTCTGCTGCTGCACCAAAGAAATCTGTAGGTTTTCCTCTTTCCTTGAAAGGTCCATGGTCCAAAGTGGATCTTCCTTGGGTTTCTTTTAGAGGTGTTAGAGCACTTTGGGATGGAAGCCTGACAGACTCAGGTAAGAGAAATCAATCAGCTCTGGAGGTGCCATTTGTAACATCTTTTTCAGCAGAATTAAAATGTGTGCCAAGGATTGGAGCCTTGCAGGGCTGTAACAGTGGGCTAAACCAATGTTTTGTATTTTAAATGTGATTCTGCCTGACAGAGAGGGTGCTGTACTGGTAACTCACTGTTTCTTTTCCTATTTTTACCATTTTGTTTAAATTTCTGTCCAGTCATGGCAATTTGCTCAGTTATGAGAACAATTCCTACCATCCAGTGGTGGTGCATGAATTAAACATGAGTGAACACATCTTAATTCCTTATTTCAAATTTATGGCCGCTGTCCTTTGAGAGTTCTGATTTCCCCCTCCTCTACATTTGTCTTTTTCTTTTCTTAATTACCTCACACCTGCTTTCCAAAGCTCTTCCCTTCCCTGCACCCTGGCATTGCACACTCCACAGGATGGCAGTGAGCCTGTCTGTCAGCAGCCATTTGGTGTCATGACAGGTATCGATTGTTTATTCATTACTTGAAAACATTTAATTAAATTTGACTACATAATTAGCACGTTAGCAGCCAGACATGCCAGGGCAGCAAATGTGATTTGCAGAAATGCCCAGGCTGCAGCCCTTTGTGAGGAAGGTTGTAGGACAGAGTCTCTGTGGGGTGTTTTGGGATCCTCACGTGTTCCTGAGTTCCAGATGGATCTGTGCATTCTGTGTTGCCCTTCTGGTTACCTTTACTCTTCAAAGAGCTGAACCTACACAGAACTTTAAATCCTGATTCAGATGGGATTTCCTGAGAACACTGGAACTGAGGGCAAGCTCTGTTTTTTCAGTACTCAAGAAGTCCAGCAGTAGATGCATTTGCCTTCTGCACCTATAGCCAGTCCCATCACTGTGAGTTAGGAAGAGGGGTTGTAAGCTGCATGACATAATCAATTTGTATTTTAATTCTTCTCCACTGTTATCTACCCTAATTTAGACAATACATTTTGCCTTTCAGCAAAGTGTTTTTAATCTTAACAGGAGAACATTTAGGTCAGAAGTTTCAAGCTGAAACTTGAACTCGACCAGCACCTGCTGATTCTCTCTGTGTGTATCTTATACATTAGTACTTGTTGAAATACTTCTGGATTGTGATGCCTATCTGCATTTAAAGAACTTAGGAAATTGAGGCACTGTCAGTATTTTACCACAGAGATATGGACTGTAGTGCCAGAAACAGTAATACAAGAGCAAGGTTGCTTCACAGAGAGAGAGAAATGGTTGTGTGTGTGTGTGTGAGTCCTGAGAAAAGCAGTTTCTTTGCCCCTAGGGCAGAAACTCCCTTTGATATCCTGCAGGGCTGGTGATTAGCAGCCCTGGGAGCTGTTGGCCATTGGGCTCTCCTGACCTGCTACATTTTATTTTCTTTTGCAAATGTAATGCAGAAAAGAATTATCTATATCTGAACATGTAGCTACCCTGTAAATATTTCTTGTATGGAACAATGCTTGTCCCTAATTTACCAGGTGGCTCCACTGAGGTTGTGCTAAGTGTCCCTTTGAATCCATAAGCAGACTTGGTCTAACTCACCTTTTCTTTTATTAGTGACAGAGTGCCGAGGGGTCTTGGACAATAATCAGCGATTTTCTTCACTGCCGACGTACCTCCCTGTGAGCTACCGGCTCTTCAACGCCGAGACATCTTTCTTCCTCAAGGAAGCCAACCAGGACTTCATGAGAAATTCCAGTTTGCAGTCCAGGGTGGAGTCATTCTTCCCATACAAAGCCAAGAGACCGCCAGTGTTAAACGCCAGCTACGGCCCCTTCTCCGTGGAGCAAGCAGTGCCCCAGGACCTCATGTTAACTTCCAGCTCCTTTGGATCCGCCAACAAATTCACTTACAACTGGAAGCTGAAGGCCTTCATCATGAGCACCAAGATCTACCTGAGCAAGCCCAGGGTGCAGGTGCTGTTCTACATCGTGGGCAGGGACTGGGACGAGTACAGCCCCGCGGAGCGGCTGCCCTGCCTGCGCGTGTTCGCCTTCCGCGAGACGCGCGAGGTGCGCGGCAGCTGCCGGCTCAAGGGGGACCTGGGGCTGTGCGTGGCACAGCTGGAGCTGCTGCCCAGCTGGTTCAGCCCCCCCAGCGTGCTCACGGGCCGCAAGAAGCCGGCGGAGCAGCCAGAAGGGAGCCCCGTGGAGCTTTACTACACGGTCCAGCCCGGGGACGAGAAGGGCGAGTGCACGGCCGAGGATATCCGCAAGGGCAACGCCATCCGGCCAGGCAAGGATGGCGTGGATGAAAGCACGTCCCACCTGCAGAGGATTGGCTCTGTCAGCCTCTACCGGGGCCAGGAGGCCTCCCAGCTCACGGAGCTGAGGCTGGACAGCAACGTCGTGGTGTGGCTGCCCTCCAAGCCGGTGAAACAAGGGGAGGTTGTGAATGTCTACGTGACAATTGCCAACAATTCCACGGTGGATCAGTTCATCCTCAGGTAAGGAGGTTGGCTGGGCGTGTTTCTGACACGGTGACACACAAAGGTGATGGGGACATGGGATGAATCTCAACTGATTTGAAGCTGAAGCCCACTGAAGGTTGCTCCTAGTCACTGAAATACCTTATTTTCCTCTTTGCACGCTGTGAGCTGGACTGAAAGCCCCCATCACTGGGAGGTTTTTAGCGTGTCTGCCGTGCCGTTTATCGCAGGCCCACGGTGTGCAGCAAGGTACAAAACTGCTGCTTTGGCAGGGCCCTTTCTGTGCCATGACAGACAGCAAGGCATCAGAAAACTTCTCTGCTTTATGCCGCTTTTAAAATCAGGTTTTTATTGCACAGGCATGGAGTTTGAATGTAGAAAAACGTCAATTACCTGCTTTTCTGAAAGCTTGCCTCTCCCACACACAGAGTGGTTTTGTTAGCAGAGCTCTGTAGGGAGGGTTTAACTATCCACTTGCAGTTAAGCAGTGTTTGTCTTTGGCAGCACATTTGTCCTTTAAATAAAGCCCAAGGTGTTTGATATTGCTGCTGCCTGTAAGGGGCTGTTAGAAGCGAGTGCCATTATTTTGGACAGGAGTGGGAACACAGAACTGCCTTACTGGGTCAGATCGCTTCCCTTTTATTTTCATTTTTAGCAGTTTCCCTACCGATCAGATGAAAATCCTTTGAGGATGACAAAGACTGGGAAACTTGTTAATCACTGAAAAATTTGATGTATCTTTTTTTAACTTGTTACCAGGCTTTAAATTCAGTGGAAATTTCCACGGTGATAAGCAACAATTGCTCTTAAAGCCTCAGGGAATCAGTTTCCCAAAAGATTGTGCACATGAAAGAATTTATTTCTAAGGCTTATATGAATTAGATTAATACATAGTTGACAACCACCGAGGAGAATAGCCTTTAGAACAGGAAGTGTCGCATGGCAGATAAAAGGCTTTTCTTTGAAAAAAGGGGGATTTTAGTCATCTCAGAACCATTCTGGTGTTTGCAGCTTTGGTTAAATTGGCGAGATAATCTCCTGGACACCTGTTTACCGAGTGAAACCTCCGTGCTAGAAGTATTTTCTGATGTTGTTACTTTTCTTCTATTGAAAATCCCTTTACACAAAGTAGTAGAAGCAGAATACTTTTGCACATAACAAACATAGCTGTGGTGAAAGAAGAAATCCAGAGGCAGTGAGCTGGGTGTTTGTTGGGTGAATGGGAGTGAGGATCACTCTCTGAAGATCCTTGCCACTGGCTTTATTTTCCTGAAATGAGAGTTGAAGATAAACAAGCCTGTTAAAATCTGGGGCTGTATTTCTTTGCTCAGAAATGAATCTGGCTGAGAGGTGCAGGAGACTGAGATGGGAATGTGGGATGTTGGTAATTGCCTGAGTGACTTGCATTTATAGACAGAGAGGATTTGGTTTATTTTTGGGAACATTTGTCTGAAATGCACAGTCTGACACAGGTTGGTGTATTGGTGGTTCTGTGCCAGCACAAATGCAGAGCTCAGGCCCTGTTCTCTTGCTGAAAAAGCCCTTTAGGTGGAAAGACAATTTGAAATTTTGCTTAATATTACTTTAAACCAGATGCGAGAGTGCGAGAGGCTGAAAAATTTAAGATTTTTTTTTTTTAAGTGGCTTTTTCTTATTTCCAGTGGGGATGGGCAGGTGGTTGTTGTCTTCAGGGCTGCCTGACTTTCTGTAAACCAGCCCTGCTCAGTGTACCTCCTCCTCTCCATGACCAAGGCAAGAAAATGAATGAGAGATGTTCCAAAGCATCTTGGGTTTGAAATCTCCAGGATCTCCCAGAGCCACGGATCTGTGCTAAGGCACAAAATGGGAGCTGTGCTTGAGGTGTACAGGAGAGGAGCTCCATGTAGAGGAAATGAAATGTTTTTTGCTGTTTTCCTGCCAGCTGACCCCGCTGGCAGAGGCTGTGTGGGACCTTGCACCAGTTTGAGCTCTGTGGCTCCTTGTGCTGTTTGCAGAGGCTCTTCCAGCGGCAGAGGGCTGGTGAAAGGCTGGCAGGGCCAAGTTCTGTGCTGGAAATGTGATGTCTTCAGTGCAACTGCCGAGGTGTGGAAGGGCGTGGAGTGTGAGCCAGGAACCCACGGAGTGCCTGAATCTGGGGAAGAGCCCAGAGAGCAGAGCAGGGAGTAGCAGTGCATATGCTGGGCCTGCCTGGGGGCCCCCTTAACCTTCTCCATGGCCATTTCCCAGCTCTCATCGTCGTGGGTTCCCAGCACAGCGAGCTCTACATCCTATGACATGCACTCACATTTAATCATCCTAAAGAAAAACACACCACACATTATCCCCGGGCACAGTGGGCTTGTTTATTTTCTGCTCCTTGTATATTATTCATTGAGGTATTGCAACATGAAGAGCTGAAGCAAACAGCATGTGATCATTGCTTGGGGGGTGGGAAATAATAGCTACAAATCTTCTCTGGCAAAAGGGGAGCAGACTGGTCTGAATGACCTCATAGCCACAAATCATGGCAGTTGGAAGTGTGGTCTTAAATTGTGTCTTAATTCAGAATCCTGGTACTGTATCTGTGAATTTATCGGTGTTCTTCAGTTGTGTCTTAGTGCAGAATCCTGCTACTGTATCTGAATTTATCAGTGTTCTTCAGTTGTGTCTTAGTGCAGATTCCTGGTGCAGTATCTGTGCATTTATCAGCCCAGGCTGGATAAATAAAGTATAAAATAAAGTAAATTTATTTTAGTAAAGTAAATAATTTTAATAAATAAAGCCCAGGAGGATGACTGGTGTGGCTTGTGCAGGGTAGTGCATTAGTGCTGTAGGAGCACCATGTGGATAAACACAGCTCCTCCTTTCTTGCACCCAGTGAGCACAGGAGTGTTGTGGGAACAATCCAAGCCATCCTGAGAGGTTGTAGGTCCTGTTCCTGTCCTGCTGTGTCACCTCTGGTAGGTCTTTACAGGCATTTTCTATCTGCAAAACAGAAAATAAAAACACTCTGTCAGCATCACCCTTGGGAGTGTCCAGTCCTGTTACTGCAGGACTTTGATTTCCTCCCATGGGAGGGGTTTCATGTTTGCCTTATGTTATCCACAATAATATGAGTGGGAAAATCTTTATTAAAGAGCTGAAGGAATAGAGAAGGGAGAGGAAAATATTGCCCTGCTTTCCTACCACTGGATTTCTGGGCTCCCAGAAGAGAGATGAATTACACTTGCTGCTGATGGTACAGTGAGGAAAATTACTGTTACCTCTAGCAGTTGGTAAAGTATGAACAGCAGGAAAGAAGCACCACTACAGGAAAGAAAATAAAAAAAAAAACCAGCAAATTTAAAAATGAAGAGCATTGAGTCTTGTGTCCTTCCCAGAGCTGCCACAAATTGTTACAACAGGCTTCAGCTGGGCTACCAGGGCTGATTGTCACCTCTCCGAGTGCTGTTACACTCTTTTCTAATCTGAGTCTTCATTTTGGGTGTATTGTCTGTGAGGATTAGAAAGCAAAATCCTCAGGGCACGACCCTGTTCTTGAATGCTTTCCTGAACTGCTCTCCCACCCAGCAGGCTACAGGAGAGGGAAGGAAGCAGAGCCATCCTGAAAAGAAGGAGTTCTTGTGGGGTTGGCTTGCACCTGGATGTGGTTGCTGGGGTGCTTGAAGGTGAGGAGGTGTGAGCTGGGGGTGTCAGGCAGCTTTGGAAAGGTTGTCCTGTGTGCATTGCTGTGTTTGCTCTGGAGTCTGAACACTTCCCCAGGTAGTTCAGCATGGAAGGATGCTGCAGCTGTTCTCCAGGCCGTGCCATGCCACATGTGACTTGGCAGAGCCCTGTCAGTACAGGGCAGGCAAAAGGAATGGCAGTGCTGAGTGCTTTCTGTCACTGAGCTGGGCAGAGCATCAGCTCTAACTCACTCTGCACAGTGCTGCAGCAGCACACAACCTCATTTACAGCAGCTACTGAGCAGGGTAAGTAAAGAGAAAGGGGATGAAGTTGTTATATCCTGATTAGAGAAAAGAGGTGTAACACAGGAGTGTTTTCCTCTTCCCTTCAGGCTTCTTATTAGAGATGTTGCAGCATGCTGCACCTGGAGGGATGGAGGTTGTAATGAGTGCTACCTTTGTCCAGCAAACAAACCAACCCAACACAATGGATAATTAGGAGTAATAATAAATCTACAAATTGGATAAGGATAAATGCAGTGAGGAAAGCTATTAAACCCATGAACTGGGACAGCTTTTACATTTATTTCAGTGCCTAATGAGTATTGACAGCGGGGCTGTGGTGGGTGGTGCAGGCAACAGCTGAAGGACCTGGAGGAGGAGGATGCGTGTGAAGAGCAGCACCAGAGGTAGAAAAGGCTGTTATGGTCATAACATCTGTGTAAGTGCTTGGGAACCTCAATGTAAAAAGCCATTTTGGAGGAATTGGTCACAAAAAAGAGGGATCTTCAACTCTAACTCTGCCAGTTTTGCATGAAAGACCTGTTTGAGCCTCCCTAGGGCATAAACCTCTCTGAGGAGCTTGGCACTGCCCTCAGCTGTACCTAAACCAACCAAAAATAGGAATGTTTTCAGGCAGTTACTGTTTGCTTTCAGATAGTGACATTTTAATTGTACTGTATGATGAAACAACTTCTACTACCCTGAAATCTGTACCTAACTGTTGGTTTGTTAGGTCTTGACACTGCAGAGTGGTGGCATCACAGCAAACACAAGTGACACTGTAATGAAGAGCTGAAGTCGATGGTATCAAAATGTGCAAAACCTAAACCAGAGCTGGAATCACTCTAAGTTTTGTGTTTACCCAGAATTTGGGATGCATTATCCCAAGGATTAATTTTCCACAGTAAATGGAATGCACTTTTTCAGCTCTGAAGTGTGTTTTTTAACACTGATTCATATTTAAAAGCAGCAGAGCTTGGAGTGAAATGAAGAGACAGAAGAGTTTGGTGGGATGCTCTTCTGGGTGTACATGTGCGTCTCCAGATGGCAAGAATTGCAACAAAACATTTTTCATGTCCTATGCAGCTTTGC